CCCCCCAGTTTCATTTTAGAGTTTATCATACTCCATTATTGTTTTACTTCCATGATTTTGAACCCAGGAATTCCTCTCTTGCTTGTCCTCATTGTTCTTCAACCTACTCATCCTACTACAGTTTCCAGTTCATCTGTTCATCCTGTTCTCCTTCCCTGTTTGGCTTCACTTCCTTCTCTTCACAAGTCTTTACCCAATTTCTAGTTGATCAGTTCAATTATATGTTTTCAGTCTTGACTCTTTCCCTTCCTTGTCCTGCTGCTGTTTCTGTCCTCTCAGTCCTCAACCCTGGATTACTCTCCCCTCCCCCTTCATTCCCTGTCCTCCTTCCATCTGCCTTCTCCACAGTTAATGCGTTAGTTGACAGGACTTTGTTAAGCACTCGGTATGTGCTTGACCCGATACTAAGTACTAGATGAGTGAAGATATAAATGAGAAAGCCCTTCTCCTCAAGAAATTTATATTCTATAGGGGGAGACATCATGTACACATACAAAATAAATGTAAGATAAATACAAGTACTTCCAAACTGTTGAATACCATTGGTGGAAGTTATACCACCATTTCAACTGAGCTTTCCCTGCCATGCAGCAAAATGTTTATTTTTCCTTGATTGACATTCTACCCTGCTCCATCAGCAGCTATTCCAAATCTTCTCGCCTGTCTTCAAGCCTCCAATGCCGATTTTACCTTCTGTCTCCTTAGAGTAGTAGTTTTCTGGGGCTCTGTGCTGGACCCTTTTCTCCTTTTTCTCTTTATGCGTGCTTTCTTGGAGATCTCTTCAACTCCAATGAGTTCATTTATCTTTATACAGATGTCTTTCAGATTTGTATATCCAACTTTAATCCAGCATGAACTCTAATCACACACTGTTAACTGCCTCCTGCTTATCTTTTCCTAGATATACCATAGGTTTCTCAAGTTCAGCATATCTGAAAAAGAGCTCATTATCCTTGTCCCCTAAACCTGCTTCTCCATCAAGCTTCCCTATTTTCATTGAGAGCATGACAATCCTTCCAGTAACCTAGATTCATAACCTCAGAGTCATCCTTGACTCTTTACTTCTTATATCTGTTCAGTTGCCAAGTCTTGTCCGTTCTACCTCCTTAACATTTCTCCATCCATCCCCTTCCACTTATATAATTGCCACGTAGTATCTGAGGCTCTCATCACCCCACACTTAAGCTATTGCAGTAATCCCTTGATGGGTTTCTCTGATCCATCCTCTCCTGCTCTAGCTTACCCTTCACAAAACTGCCAAAATAATCTTTCTAAGGTACAGGTCAGACCATGTCACCTTTTTGCTCAACAACTTTCAGTGGCTTCCATTTGCCTCCAGGATGAAAGCCCTTTACAGTCTTGCTTCCATCTACCTTTCCATCCTATTTCATTCTTCCATGAACTCTACATTCTAGCCAAATTTGACTAGTAGCCATTCTGATAAGCTCTTCTGCAGGCCTGCCTTGATCTCCTTCTGCATTTTTGCTTCTCAAAAACCTTGTTTTCAAAGCTAATGCCGTGTACCGTCTTCTCAAAGTTTTCTGGATTCTTCTTCCTCAGTTCCTGACTCAGTAAGCTCTTTGAGAATAGTCTTTTTCATTTTGTCTTTGTATTCCTGGTGCCTACCACAATGTCTTAAAAGGAATTAAAACTTTTTCCTGTGAGGGAAGAGATAGGAGTTTTGGAGCTTATGATTTTCATCCCCCTCCCCACCCCTTTATTACTGATATCACAGCTTCCACAATATGAAACCTAGAGGAGCTTCAGTATCCAAAAATCTGAGACCCATGGAAGAGTCATCCTGGGTCCGTATAGTGTAAGAGCTGTGGCCATGGGCCATAAAGTGCCAACTGCTCATCTGTTGGGAAGTTTAATCTGAGCTAAGGCCCAGTTTGCCTAAAACACAAAGATTGAGTGGGGAACTGGAGGTGTGGGTGTCTGGTTCTCCTGTTTGGCTGCTGCTCTGGGATCTGCTCCTTCAAGTAACCCTTCAGAATTCAGTGACTCATCATGTTCTGCAGGTCCTGGCAAATGTGGCTTACATCATTATAGAATCAACTGAGGAGGGTACAACCGAGTATGGCTTGTGGAAAGATGCTTTGTTCTTGGTGGACCTGCTGTGCTGTGGAGCCATACTCTTCCCAGTGGTGTGGTGAGTAACCCAGGAGTGCCCCATCTGCAGCTTGCAGAGTCTCTGAAGGAGGCTGAAAATGGAGGCTCATTAGTGATAGAGTGTACATTTCCTAGATAAAAGAGCTCCATTAAATAGCACTTTCTTGCCAAGAAGAAGATAAGTGAAATAGATAAAACTGAAGACAGATTTCAGCATGGAAACCATCTTCAGAATGTTTCTTTTAATTTGCTTTTATTTAAAGACTGTGTCCTGAGGTAGTAATAGTTATAATGTTTCATGTAGTTAAATAAATGATCTTTAGGGTACTCCTGTCTAAGGTTCAGACAGTCAGCAAGCATTTATTGTTTGCTCAGTGCCAGTGCCAGTTTCTGTGCTAGGTCCTGAGGATACAAAGATAAAAGATGAGACCCTCTCTTCTCTCAAGGGACACAGCATTTACACACACACACACACACACGCACAGGTGATGGCCATACAGATATGGAAGATGGAGGATTGTGTGTGAGAAATAGAAAAACCAATTTAGTTGGACCCCATAAAGTACAGAAAGGGGAGTAATGTGTAAGGAGGCTAGAAAGATAAGTTGGGTTTAGTTGTAAAGGGCTTTAAAAGACAAAGTAAAGGAGTTCATATTTCATACTGAAGGTAGTAGGGGTTCACTGCAATTTATTGAGTGGAGGAGTGACAGTCAGATCTGTGCTTAAGGGAAAGTCCTTTTGATCACTGTGTTGAATATGGATCAGAGTGGAAAGAGACTTGAAATAAGTGTGATACTTCTGTGGTGAGTTTAATACTTAAATGGGTTACTTAAGTTCATTGTGTTTCATGGGCCTGGTCTATACCCTAATTCCCAGCCAATCTGCCTTCTGAAAGATTGTTGTTAATTTCAAAGATGAAATGTGAAAGAGTATATGAATCAGTACAGAATGTTTTGTAAGTTTTAAAGTATTATATAATTTGTACCTATTATTGTTATCTTAACACATACATTAGCTTTGAGTACTGATTCTAGACCCTTAAAGTCACAGAGAGTATTTACTTATCTATCTGGCTTCATTTGCACTGCCAGGAGTCCCTCAAGTGGGAGGGTCTTGGGAAGGAGCCATGGAGTTAGAGAAATAAATTTCTTACTGCTAGTTTAAAATTTTTCTTTCTTTTAAATAAATGCCCTGGAAATTATTTTTTGTTTTAGGTTTTTGTTTGTTTGTTTTGCTCTAACTCTATGATTTCATAGGTGTGGAGAACTCCCAGTGAGGAAATTCTCTCTACTAATGTATATGCGCTACTCTTCAGCTGCTTATAGTCTCAGAGAGCTGCTTGGCACACTGAGAGGTTCATTGACTTGCCCAAGTCACACAGCCAGGATATGGTAGAAGTAGGTCTTAAATCCAGGGTTTCTTGGCTGCTTCATGTCTGCTGCAGTGGAGGTATCAAACTCACAGAAGCAAACACTGCCAGTGCTGCCAGAACCAGGTTAAAATGTAATTGTAAAATGTTTTAAAAAATAAATAAAACTACAACATAGACAATGTTAATTTGCGGTTTTCTAAGTCATTATGCAGCCCATATGGATTCATTTCTGTTTGAGTTTGACACTACTGCATTATGACATATTACTACTCAAAAATGCTATAAAATTGGGGGAGAGAGGACTCAATGGGTGGAATCACTAAATGCTAAAGAATTGATGTTATCATAAAACCATTTACTCTACTCTGTTCTTTGTGTAAGTGAAGGGTGCCAACAGGGTAGAGACCATAATCCAAAAAAAACCCCCAAAAAAACAGGGCCTGGTCTAATTAGAAATAGTACGATACTGGTAAATTTAATTTAAAATTTAATTATAAAAATTAGGTGCAGGTGAATTAGAAGTGAATCAGATGGCTACTAAGACATCATTAGGAAATGAGTTAAAATCTCAGTTTAGTGAAATTCTGACAGTGAAAAGAATATAGTACTAAGACATTATCTGGTTAGTAAACTATCAGGCTTTGCTTTAGGGTAGCTTCTGTCACTACTTAATATGTTCAGCTTGGATATGAGCTATGATGACTTATTCTCCCCACTGGTAAATGTTGGATTATCTTAAGGTCACCTTTTATCAACAGGCTGTAAATTGATTATAGTCTCTAATTTTTTTTTTTTAATCACATCCCAGCTGTTGGCAGAATTTTTCCTTGGTCGTTAAGCAGGGCCAAATAGTCAATTACTGACTGTCCTAACTAACCAGCAGAGGGCATCTCCATGTCACTCAAGCCTAAGGTACTGTGTTTGCTAAATATTGCAGTGAATTTAAAGTTTCTCATCTTTAAAATGATGGGATTAGACTAGCTTATTTTTAAGGTTCCTTTCAGCCCTAAATCCATACTCCAATGATCCTACTAATATGTAATCAGGACATATATAGATACAACTACAATATACTTTTTATAGAAATCAAAGAAGGCTTCAATGATTAGAAAAACACTTTCTTGGTTCATGCCAATCTAATAAATATGACAATACTAACTAAAATAATTTATGGTGTTAATGACATTAATCAAATTACCAATTGATTACTTTATGGGCAAAATACTAACAAAATTTATTTGGAAGAATATTGAATCCTAAGGAAAATAATGACAAAAAGTTAGGAAAAAAGGGTCTAGCATTACTAGGTTGCAAATTATATGTTAGTAATCATGAAAACTATTTGGTATTGGTTTTTAAAATAGGAAAAATAGGTCAGTAAAACAAGTTAGACAAGAAAGACTCAGAATCAAACAACACAGTAGCCTAATGATTACTAAACCTAAAAACAAACTACCATGGAAAAGAATCCACATTTGACATGAACTCCTGGGAAAACTAGAAAGCATTTTGGCAGAAAATAGGTTTAGACTAGTATCTTTTGTCTATATAAGCTTTTGATAATTGACCTAAATGTAAAATGTCATGTCATTAAAAAAATTAGCAGAGAATGATAGGAGGTACTTTTCCAAACTATGTCTAGGGGAAGAATTCATAACCAAATAAGGGATGCCTTCTACATGAAGCCTTTCCTTACCACCCAGTTACTAGTGTTCTTTCCAACCCCGAATTTACTTTGTATTTATTTCATTTATGTGTGTGTGTGTATCTATATATATATCTATATAGATATATATAGATACACACACATGTATATGTTGTCTCCTTGGTGATAATATATAAGTTGCTTAAGGACAAGAATCGTATTTTATTTTTGTTTTCCCAGAACCTAGCAAAGTGCCAGGCACATAGTAAGCACGTAGTAAATGATTGTAAATTTTTTGATTCTTTACAAATGACAAAACAGGTAGTTTTTATCATACGAAATTATTAAAGCTGTTGCTTGAATAAAATCAATGCAGCAAGAACAAGAAGAGAAACTGTTAAGTAGGGGGAAAATCTTTGCACCACATATCTTTGGTAAAAGTCTAATATCTGGGGCAGCTAGGTGGAGCAATGGATAGAGCATTAGCCCTGCAGTCAGGAAGACCTAAGTTCAAATCTGGCCTCAGACACATAATACTCACTAGCTGTGTGACTCTGGGCAAGTCACTTAACCCCAAATGCCTCACCAAAAAAAAAAAAAGTCTGATATCCAAGGCATACAGGGAATTGACATAAAAATATAAGACTATGAGCCATTCCCCAATAGGTAAGCAATTGAAGGATATAATTTTCAGAAGGAGAAATGCTGTATGGAAAAAATGATAGAAGTCCCTACTATTAAGAGAAATGCAAAGTAAAGCATCAAATTACATGAATGATACAAGATGGAAAATAGGCAGTGTTAGAGCGCCATGGAAAGAAAAGCACATTAATGCACTGTTGGAGCTGTGAATTAATCCAGTTGTTCTGGAAAACTATTTGGAATTTTGTAAGAAAAGTACTAAACTATTTATATTCTTTGGTATCAAAAGGCAGCTAAACTCAGATTAAAAGCAATGATTGACCTTGATTCTAAGACACAGGAGATGAAACATCAGTTTGTCCTCTTGGTAGACATGGTTGTTATGTCAAATAACTTTTGTGTAAAAAATAGAAAAGTATAAATAAAACTTTTAAAAAATCATAATTGGGGGACAGCTAGGTGGCGCAGTGGATAGAGCACCAGCCCTGGATTCAGGAGGACCTGAGTTCAAATTTGACCTCAGACACATAACACTTAGTAGCTGTGTGACCCTGGGCAAGTTACTTAATCCTATTGCCTAGCTATAAAAAAAAAAAAAAATCATAATTGGGTTCAGCAAAGTATGGTCTGTAACCTATTTCTGAATGAAGAATTTTTTTTTTCCACTTTTGAATAACGTTAGGCAGCCACTGGATTTGGCCCTTAGGCTCTATTTTGTTGGCTCTGAATTAGAAGAATGATGTAGATAGATGCAGTTTGCCCAGATTTTAGGGAAGTCTTTCATGCTATGGAGATGTGTGACTTAAGTGACAGTTCATTTCAATGGGTTCAGACCTGGTTTAATGGCTAGAATCAAAGAGTCTGGTTCTTTAATGGTTAGAATTCTCTCTGAAGGAATTCTCTTTTTTGGTGCCCCACAACCCCATGGACCGCTCAGTGCTGTTTAACATTTTTATCAGTAACTTGGATAATGGTATGGAATGGCATGTTTATCACGTTTTCAGAGGACAAAAAGTTGAAGGGATAGCTAACACATTGGTGGACAGTTAGGGTCCAAAAAGATCTTGACCATTTAGATCATTGTGTCAAATCTAATAAGATAAAATTTAGTAGTATTAAGTAGTCTTAGTCTTGGGTTAAAAACAATCAGCTTCACAAGTATAAAATGAGAGAGGCCTAGCTACACAATAGTTCATCTGAAAGTTACATGAAGTTTTTGCCTGCAAACTCAGTATAAGTGAACAATGTGATAGAGTATATAGCCAAAAAAAGTAAATGCAATCTAGGCTATGTTAAGACCAATAGAAAGTCCAGAACGAGGGAGGTGATACCTGTTCAACTCTGTCTCCCCTAGATCATATTTGCAGTGTTAATTTTCAGGTGCCTTATTAGCAGTAACATTTCTAAGTTGGAGTGTACAGAAGAGGGCAGCCATCATGATAAAGGGCTTCAGAGTCATGCTGTGTGAGGATTGGTTGAAGGGAATAGAAATGTTTATCATCCAGAAGGAAAGACTTTGAGTGGAGAACCTGTTAGTCGTGTTCAACAGCTTGAAAGGCTGTTGAATACTGTGTAGTGACAGTGACCAGTCTTGGCCCCTGAGGGGAGATAGGAAGCTTTCTTGGAAAAGTGGGAGACTTGGGTCCAGTATTACATATGCTGTTAGATTGCTGAATCTGTCCATTAGTTTTGCTTTATTCTTTTTCTTTGTTCCCTAGGCAGGGGAGGGAGGTTTGTGGTTGGAGCTTGGCTATCATCAGGGAGGGCTTTTATACACTTGGAATTTTGAAATAGAAAAAGGCTTGGGGGAATGTAATTAGATGGCTTCACTCAAGCTATTGAAAGTCTTCCTGATCCAGCTTATTCTTTGCTGTGGTGACTGTGGACATAGTATTTTATATCCTTTTAATTTGGGAGTCTTGTTCTTTTTAGTCCTGTCATAGTAAAATTGTTTTAACTATGTTTTTTGCCTCACACATGCTTATTGAATTTAAAAGTGAATTTGCTAGAAGCTTGGCCTACAGTATGGATATATCCAGAAATGGCTAATGCATAAACAAAACACATCAATAAAACCTTTTTTTTTTTTTAAAGAAAGAATAAGAATATATCTGATGGATATCCACAGGCTACACTGGCATCCCAACAGTGTCCAGAGGCAGCTAGGTGGTTTAGAGGATAGAGCCCTAGGTCTGGAGTCAGGAAGACTTGAGTTCAAGACTGAACTCAGACACAGCCTAGCTGTGTGACCCTGGCAAGTCACTTAATGTCTGTTTGCCTCAGTTTCCTTAATTGTAAAATTAAGATAATAACAACACTTACATCACAGGCTGGTTGTGAGGATCAAATGAAATAAAAGCCCTTATCACAGTGCTGGGAACGTAGAAGTTTCTACATAAATGCTTCATCAAGATGGCCTTCATCATACACACATGCTATTCCTCACCCCTTTAAAAAAACAAAAAACTCAACAATATTTGAAGGGCTAATTAGGAGGATTTGATTTGTTCCCAGTGGGCAGAATTAGGAACCAAGGAGAGAAATTGCAAAGAGACAGATTTAGGCATTGATGTAAAGAAAAACTTCCCAATGCTTGATCTCTCCAAAAGTAAATGGGGCTGCTTCTGGAGTTAATGGGTTTGCCCTCACTAGAGGCTTCAGACAACAGCTGGACAAAAACTTGTCACATATGTAGTAGAGGAATTTTGTGTTCACATTTGACTTGTATTAGGTGGTCTCAGAGGTCCCTTCCAGTTCTGGAGTTCTGTTTTCAAATCCAGCCTTTCTTTAAAGACCATTTGATCCACTCTCACTTCATCTTAAATATTATGTATTTGAGGTTCAGAAACATTAAAGAAATTGCCCCAAGTTATAGTTAATGGCTGAGCCTGAGGAAAAAAATGTAAATTCATGAACTAACTGGTGCTCACTGAATATTTATTTTTAGGTCAATAAGACATTTACAAGAAGCCTCAGCAACAGATGGAAAAGGTAAGTTCATTTATTTTTGTGGCCTCTTTTCTGATGCTTGAGACTCCATTAATTTAATAAGTTTGAGATTTTCCTGTACTTTTTAGTTGATATTGAGTGGTAGAGTAGGAAAAACTATTTGTTAACAAACTCATGTCCTTATTTAGTGGCAATCAGTGGAGATTCCTAAAATGAGTGTTTTTGGTTTTCCAATTGCCTGGCAAGCCAAGCCAGCTCTAAGTTGGGTTCATGTTGTTTTGTAGAGAAGCTGGTGTTCAAGATTCCAGGAACTTAGCTGCATGTGGGGGCTGGGAGGATTACTGTTTAACAGAATGACTCATTTCATCTCCCCTCTTTTGAGTGCGATTTTCACCTCACAAACTGAATTGGGAGCACACAATCCTGTCTCTGGGTGGGGAGAGATAACACGTCCTTGTGAAAATGAGTAGCATCACTTCTAGCCTATGGAGTTCAGATGGGTATGTGTAAAGCAGCCCTTCCTGCTATTTTCCTTCACAGTTGATTTAACAAGCTGCAGAAATAGATGTGTCCCTACTCATTTAAAATTATGACTTGGATAACCAGAAAGGACCTTTAAAATTTGCTGATTTTAAACAAGGGAGCAATTAACCTTTGCATTTTTTCCCCCTTAAATTTTTTGTAACCTGTTTTGGTTTTGTTTTGGGTTTTGTTTGTTTGTTTGTTTTTGTTTGTTTTTTTCCCCAATTACATGTAAAAACAATTTTTAAAATTTGTTTTAAAATTTTTTGTATTCCAAATTCTCTCCCTCAGTCACCTTCATTGGGAAGGCAGGCAATTTGATAAAGGTTATATATGTGCAGTCGTGCAAAACATATTTCCATATTGGTCATGTTGTGAAAGAAAACCAAGAAAAATAAGGTAAAAAGAGTATGCTTCGATCTGCCTTCAGACTCCATCTTTCTTTCTTTGGAGGTGGATACCATTTTTTCATTGTAAATCTTTTGGAATCTTTAGATCATTGCATTGCTGAGAATAGCAAGCCTTTCACAGTTGATCATCATACAGTATTGCTGTTACTGTGCACACTGTTCTCCTGGTTCCGAACACTTCACTTTGTATCAGTTCATGAAAGTCTTCCATGGTTTTTCGGAAAGCGTCCTACTCATCATTTCTTATAGCACAATAATATTTCACAACAGTCATATACCTTGTTCAGCCCTTTCCCAATTAATAACCATCCCCTTGATTTCTAATTCTTTGCCACCACAAAAAGAACTGCTATAAAAATTTTTTTACATATAGGTCCAATTCTTTTTTTTTTTTAAATCTTTTTGGGGGGCAGCTAGGTGACCCAGGGGATAGAGCTCCGGACTTGGAGTCAGGAAGACCTGAGTTCAAAACTGGCCTCAGACACGTAACACTTAACTAGCTTTGTGACCCTGGGCAAGTCATTTAACCCCATTTGCCTCACCATTAAGCAAAAAAAACAAAAAACAAACAAAAAATCTTTTTAGGATACAGACTGGTAGTAGTATTGCTGGGTCAAAGAGTATACATGGTTTTATAGCCCTTTGGGCATAGTTCCAAATAGCTTTCCAGAATGGTTGAATCAGTTCACAACTCCACCAACAGTGCTTTAGTGTCCAATTTCCCACATTCCCTCCTAACATTTGTCATTTTTCTTTTCTGTCATATTAGCCAGTCTGATAGGTATGAAGTGATATCTCAGACTTGTTTTAATTTGCATTTCTTCAATCAGTAGTGATTTAGAGCATTTTTTCATATGACTATAGATAGCTTTGCTTTCTTCATCTGAAAACTGCCTTTTCATATTCTTTGACCATTTATCAGTTGGGGAATGGCTTATATTCTTATAAATTTGACTCCGTTTTCTATATATTTGAGAAATATGGCCTTTAGCAGAAATACTTGGCTATAGAAAATTTTTCACTTATGATTACTGTGTATTTCCCTCCATCTTATTTCTTCCCCCTGTATGCCCTTCTCTCTTTCTCTCCCTTTCTCTCTGTCTCCTTTCACCCTGTCCCTCCTCAGAAATATTTTACTTCTGATCACTGCCTCCCTCAGTCTGCTCTCCTATCAGCACCACCTCTTCCCCTCCTACATGTAGTTCCCTCTTTGAGCCAATTCTGTTGAGAGTAAGGTTCAAGCATTCCCCCCTCCCATCTTCCCCTTTACTATAAAAGCTCTTTTGTACTTCCTTTATGAGATAATTTGCCCCATTCTACCTCTCCCTTCCCCCTTCTCCCAGTGCATCCCTCTTTCTCACCCCTTAATATTATTTTTTTAGATATCATCCCATCAGAGACATCTTTCTTTCTTACCATCCCTTAATTTTATTATGTTAGATATCATTTCATCATAGTCAACTTACACCTATGCTCTCTATATAGACTCCTTCTAACTGACCTAATAATGATAAAGTTCTTAGGAGTTACAAGTATCATCCTCCCATGTAAGAGTGTAAACAGTTTAACCCTATTGAATCCCTTATGATTTCTCTTTCCTGTTTACCTTTTCATGCTTTTCTTGAATCTTGTATTTGAAAATCAGATTTTATATTCAGCTCTGGTCTTTTCATCAGGAATGCTTGAAAGTCCTTTATTTAATTAAATATCCATTTTTCTCCCTGAAGGATTATACTCAGTTTTTGGTTTTGTTTTGTTTTGTTTTTTTGGCAGTTGGGGTTAAGTGACTTGCCCAGGGTCACACAGCTAGTAAGTGTCAAGTGTCTGAGTTTGGATTGGAACTCAGGTCCTCCTGACTCCGGGGCCGGTGCTCTATCCACTGTGCCACCTAGCTTCCTGTCTTCCAGGAATTCTTTTTGGGTGTGAGACCAATTCACATTTTTCTTTTAGGCTTTGGATGTAGCTGTTTTGACTTTGTTGTCATCTTTGTGTTTTGAGCTTCTCTGTCACCGTAGTAACTTTCTGTGGTCAGGTTCTTTTTTTGTTTGTTCATTTTTCCATCTGTTTCTTGACTTTTAACTTTTATGTTAAAGTTGGACTCTGCTCCTGGGGTAGAGGGGGCATTGTCCCGAGCATCAGGTTTTTCATATTCCTGTTTTCAGAGGTAGCTCTAGAGGTCAGTAAGTTTTCAGTTCTTTCAAGGTAGTATCATCTGAGGAGAGGTGTGGTCATTTCTTTCATGGCTTGTGCTCTGGTTTGTGAGTGACCACAAACACTCTTTTCTGCCTTGGACCACAGTTCCTACTGCTGCTAGTGCTTCTCCTCACCCTGGGACAGTGACCTGAAACTCAGTATGGGCAATGCAGCAGAGTCCTGCTCCAGTGCCAGCAGAAGGTCACCTGTAATCTCCTTCTGACCAATTCTGTGATCCCCTTTCTATTTGTGGGCTGAGGACTCCAGAAGCTACTGCTGCTGATTCAGTCACTCCCATGGTGTGTTGCTGGCTTGTCGGTTTGTGGCCCACACTAGACTGAGCTCCACTCACACCCTAGTGAAATAGACCTTTCCTGCTGACCTTCTAAATTGTCTTGGGTTGGAAAATTGTCTCACCCCATCCATTTGTTGATCCCGCCACTCCAGAATTCGTTTTGAGGTGTTAGTTTAAAGTTGTTGGGAGGGGAATTTAGGAGATCTTAGGCCTTAACTCAACCATCTTGGCTGTGCCCTGTAACGTTTAAAAAATATATATATATATATATATATATATATATATATATATATATATAATTTTTTTTCCTCTTTAAAACTACAATGCAGTTAGAGGACTGAGGGATATTTCCATCATTTCTAATCCATCCTATGCACTGTAGCCTAATCTATGACAAGAGTTATACATAAGAAATGTCATTCCTGGGCTCAGAACCCTGCAGCACATCAGCTTCTTAAGGAATAAAGTTAAATACCTTAAGTTGGTATTCAGTCTAGCATATCACACTGCAGCATGGTTTAGAAGAAAAAACTCTAGTCTTGGAGTTAGGAAGAGCTGATTTTAAATCCTGCCTCATAAAGAATTGTAAATTGAGAGGATGCCCATCAATTGGGGAATGGCTGAACAAGTTGTGGTATATGAATGTAATAGAATACTACTGTGCTATAAGAAATGATAAGCAAGCAGACCTCAGAAAAACATGGAAAGACTTGTATGGACTGATGCTGAATGAAGTGAGCAGAACCAGGAGAACGTTGTACACAATAACAGTCATGCTGTGCAATGACTAACTTTGATAGATTTAGCCCTTCTCAGCAATGCAAGTATCTAAGACATCTCCAAAAGTCTCATGATGGAAAATGCTGTCCATATCCAGAGAAAGAACTATAGTCTGAATACAGATCGAAGCATACTATTTGCTCTTTTTTTTTCTTTTGTTTTGTTTTGTTTCCTCTGTCTTGCAGTTCCTCTTACTGGTTCTAATTCTTCTTTACAACATGACTGATGTGAAAATATGTTTAATAAGAAAGTATATGTAGAGCCTGTATCAGATTGCATGCTGTCTTGGGGAGGGAGGGGGAGAAAATTTAAAACTCAAAAGGTTATGGAAATGATTGTTGAAAACTAAAAATAAATTAATTAATTTTTTTTAAAAGCCTATAAAAATACTAAAAAAAAAATCCTGCCTCAGACACATGTCAGCTGGGTGATCCTGGGCAAGTCACTTAATACTTTTGTACCTCAGTTTCCACATTTGTAAAATGAGGGGGTGGACTCAGTGGCCTGCCAAGGCCCTTCCATCTTTGACCCTATGATCCTGTGATTCCATCTTCCTCATAGTACTCCCTTCCACATATCCCACAATCTGGACCAATTAGAATGCAGTATTTGCAGTTTTCTTACACAAGTGTGATGCTTTCACACCGTTCCCAGTGCTTAGAATGCCTTTCACCTGTTGTTTAAATTTTAACTCAGATGCCATCCCTCCAGAAAATCTTCCCTGATTCCCTTCAGACTTGAAATATCTTTTTACTTACGCCTTTTTACATAATGCATAATACATATTAATGAATCTGTCATATTCCCCTATTACAGAGTACGTTCCATGGTGGCAGCATCTC